TCGTAGATTATGTCATGAGGCAGTAGATCACATGGTTTGCGTTTCGGAGTTGCCTGCAGTGGTCCCATATCAGTCTGAAATTAGATTCTGATGAATTAGAACTTAAGTGGGTTGACCTTTGTTTGTGTTACATCGCTATGTGATTTATTCAGGTTCTATTGGAGGTTCACACTACAGCCATGCCGGTAGCGGCTCAAATCATCTCTGCATGCCAGACGAGCCTATCTATGACGAAGTAGAAACTTCCCTACACGGTGAACGAGCCCTATTATACTCCTCTGAATACCAAGTCAATACTGCTCCTTCACGCATGCAACCAATGCATGACCACACTCCGACCTGTGCAGTTTGCAGGGCGCCCTCTGGTCGCACCAGCAAACTTATGATTCCTGCCCGAAACGTATGTCCTTCTCAAGAGTGGCGTTTAGAGTACGCTGGTTATCTTATGGCAGAGAAATACACACACAAGACATCGGAATTTGTGTGTGTGGACCGAGAGATGGTTCCTAAAGCGGGTACCCTGGGGAATCAGGATGGTGCGCTGTTGTACCTGACAGAAGTCCGGTGTCTGGCGGGTGGGGGCTTGGATTGTGGACCCTACATCGATGGTTACGAAATTACTTGCGCTGTCTGTACTATCTGAATTCATTTCAATAAATACTATTTCATATTTCATATAACTTGGCACAGTTTTCAGTTCTTGCCATGCTTTTAATATACCGTAATTCCATACACACAACGGGTCAAAACGTGTCTGATTAAATTAGCTTAGTTTGTAGACATGTCTCTGAATGTTGTATATCGCATACAATAGTCATGATGCAAATTGTATTAATTAATTTTTGCTAGCCTTGTCCAACCGAACAATATGTCTGATATTCGAATTCTGACTATTGAAATAAAATTATTTGCAACAGGTGAATAAGATATATTGCAACCATGGCACTTAACAAAGATTTGCGCATTAAATTTGATTATATTACGAATTTTTCTTTTGGCTAACTGTTTGGTATTTGGAAAATATTTAAGATCATGTTGTTTGACGTTACACATAACATATTGCATTAACGCCCGCGTGGTTCGATAGGGAAAATGTAGGCAAAACGGTTTGCCAGAGGAAGGATCGAACCCGGGGCCTCTCGCATGAGAGTCAAGAGCCTTTATCAATTTATATCACAGTGCTTTCACTATGTACATGTATATGGCTTCTGGTACTTGAAATAATAACAAGGAGTAATATTTCTGGTTTCTCTTATTCCCACGTATAGAAGAAGACCACATTTGCAGCAAAACGTTAAACAGATTTATCTTGAAATGTCCCGTTACAGCTCGAATAGATATATATAAACATATATATATATATATATATATATATATATATATATTACATATCCCTCTTTTGACGCCGTATGGTGTTGAATCTGATGTGTGCAGTGCTTTTAAAAATTTCATTTATCTATACGATTTACAGTGAGATTAAGTCAATTTTTCTTGTACTATTTGGGCTTTACAATTTTCCCACAATAAACGATAGTTATTTGGTCTAATTTGTTCTCATGTACCATTTGCTCTCTTTTCCTTCGCCCTGTATTACGTGTATATAGATGTCGTCCACTTCTCCTTCCTGGTGATTCATCCTATGAGAGAGAGAGAGAGAGAGAGAGAGAAGGGGAGAGAGAGAGAGAGAGAGTGAGAGAGAGGGAGAGAGAGAGAGAGAAGAGGGGAGGAGAGAGAGGGATAGAGAACGTTAAGAAGAGAGAGATAGAGAGAGAGAGAAGGGGGAGGGAGAAAGAGAAGGGAAGGGAGAGAAAGTGAAAGAAAGAAATGAGAGAGACAGTAACAGGGGGAGGGGGAGGGAAAGAAGGAGGGGTAAAAGCTACTCTGAAAAGTATTTCTAGCTAACATTTAACCTTAATTTGTTTGGAGCTAGACGGGCCTTCTGGCTCCAAACATACGTCTATTTTTCCGAACATATTCTCATGCGACAATTGCTCCGGATATTTATCTCGTCAAAAATAACCGGTTAGGGTTAGGGTGAGGTAATTGTAGTGAACATCCCTAATCGCAGAGCAATTGTTGCTGTTTAGCAAACTATCAACCCTGTTTGAAACCCAACATAAACATTATAAACCGAAAGAGGGTTCTCAGACAAAATTATCCCACAGCGACATTTGCCCCGGTTTCTTCCGTCAAAGATGACCAGTTAGGGTAGGGTATTTGGTCCAGGGTTAAAGTTAAGAATTCCGTTTAATAGTGAGCAATACCCCCCCCCCCCCACTCAGAGGTCGGAATGACCGCATGCGTGTTGCCATACGCGCCTGTATGGGACACCATTTTAGAACCAAGTATGTTATAGTTGAGACTACCGGTAATTATAAATCCACAGCTTGCTTTAGAACAGAACAAAATAAACTAACCAAATTCACTTTAATTACTATATACCAAGTGTTGGAGAACATATCATTTAGGACTCATAGCCGAGAAGTGTTATTGTTGTAGAAAAGGAGGAAAAAAGGAGGAGAAAATACAGTAGCATAAATGTTATCTGGTGTAGTTTATACTGCATTACGCAAAAATTGACACAGTTCACAGATAAGTTGACTGTGTATTGTTGTGTAAATTTAGATATTCCATTGGGTATAAACTAGTTCATTTTAGACAAATTTATCTTTTTATTTGTAAAAAAACGTCACTTTACAAGGTTTGATGGAGCACATTAAAGTATACACTGGAGTATAGTCTGAAAAATAATGGACAAAAAACAACAAATTATTTCAATCTGGACAGCTGAAATCCAGATTTACACCAAAATTGTTTAATTTTCAGGTTCTGGGTTTCTCTTTTACTTTTCTTCAAGGCTATGTGAAAGATACCAGTAGCCAGAATCAAATTATTGTTACCCTTTTAATGATGGTTCTGCTTAATCTTAAATAAGTTCATGAATTATAAAATCATCAATTAATAAATTACACATGAGTTGTTAATGCATTACAGAAGCCACAAATAATAAAACAGCCACTCATTCATTTGTTTTGGTAATTTTATTTTTATTTGTAAGGCAAGACATTCAGTATTTAAAAAAATGCTTAGTACAAATAACATGATAATTTCAGAAATACAAACACAAAAAGAAAATTACAAGATATATGACACTTATTAATACAGTAACATTGATGGGATATGATAAATGCTACATTTATTAACTGAGCACTAAATGGTATAAGCGTTATACCAAACAACAGAGAACTAAATGGTATAAGCGTTATACCAACCTACAGGGCACTAAATGGTATAAGCGTTATACCAATCTACAGAGCACTAAATGGTATAAGCGTTATACCAATCTACAGGGCACTAAATGGTATAAGCGTTATACCAATCTACAGAGCACTAAATGGTATAAGCGTTATACCAATCTACAGAGCACTAGATGGTATAAGCGTTATACCAATCTACAGAGCACTAAATGGTAAAAGCGTTATACCAACCTATAGGGCACTAAATGGTATAAGCGTTATACCAACCTACAGGGCGAAAATTTAGCAACGACTCAAAATACTTTAAATCTTTTTTGATAAAAATTGACATTTTTTTAAAATTCTAAATTTTATTTTTTTCCAAAAAATAGGATTTAAAAAAAAAAAAAAAAAAAAAAAAAAAATTGATGCATGATATCAAACAAATATATCCCTCAGCAAATAGCACTATTGGAGTCACCTCTTGTGCATAGTCTTAACCAGAACCTCTCAAGACAGTGTATATTTGTATACTACAGAGCACTAAATGGTATAAGCGTTATACCAATCTACAGAGCACTAAATGGTATAAGCGTTATACCAATCTAGAGAGCACTAAATGGTATAAGCGTTATACCAATCTACAGGGCACTAAATGGTATAAGCGTTATACCAATCTACAGAGCACTAAATGGTATAAGCGTTATACCAACCTACAGGGCACTAAATGGTATAAGCGTTATACCAACCTACAGAGGCGTACGCAGGATTTTTTTCAAAGGGTGGTTTTAAAATCTGAAAATCGCGCCAAAAATTTCGCAACAACTCAAAATATTAAAAATCTTTTTTGATAAAATTAGACATTTTTTTTTAATTCTAAATTTTAATTTTTTCCAAAAAATTAAAAAAAAAAAAAAATTTAATTAATTTTTAATGCATGATATAAAACAAATATACCCCTCAGCAAATAGTACTATTGGAGTCACCTCTTGTGATAGTTTTAACCAGAACCTCTCTAGACAGTGTATATTTGTATACTACAGAGCACTAAATGGTATAAGCGTTATACCTATCTACAGACACTAAATGGTATAAGCGTTATACCAATCTACAGACACTAAATGGTATAAGCGTTATACCTATCTACAGACACTAAATGGTATAAGCGTTATACCAATCTAAAGAGCACTAAATGGTATAAGCGTTATACCAATCTACAGGGCACTAAATGGTATAAGCGTTATACCAATCTACAGACACTAAATGGTATAAGCGTTATACCAATCTACAGACACTAAATGGTATAAGCGTTATACCAATCTAAAGAGCACTAGGTAATTGGTATAAGCGTTATACCAATCTACAGAGCACTAAATGGTATAAGTGTTATACCAACCTACAGAGGCGTACGCAGGATTTTATCCAAAGGGGGGGGGGGGTTTAAATTCTGAAAATCGCGCCAAAAATTTTGCAACGACTCAAAATATTTTTTTTTAAATTTGATAAAAATTGACATTTTTTTTAAATTCTAAATTTAATTTTTTTTCACAAAAATGCGATTAAAAAAAAAAAAATTAAATAGATTTTTAATGCATGATATAAAACAAATATACCCCTCAGCAAATAGTACTATTGGAGTCACCTCTTGCGCATAGGTTTAACCAGAACTTCCAAAGGCAGCGTATTATTTGTATACTACAGAGCACTAAATGGTATAAGCGTTATACCAATCCAAGGAGCACTAAATGGTATAAGCGTTATACCAATCTACAGAGCACTAAATGGTATAAGCATTATACCAACCAACAGGGCACTAAATGGTATAAGCTTTATACCAACTTACAGGGGCGTACGCAGGACTTTTTCCAAGGTGGGGTTTTAAAATCTGAAAATCGCGCCGAAAATTTCGCAACGACTCAGCCAGCCTGTGAATAAGCAGGGGTGGGGGATGGGGGGGGGGGGGGGAGGGGGTTAAGACTACATCCCATATGCAAACAATTTTGAGATAAATTTATACTCATACGGGAAAAAAATGTTTTACATTTACAGTTGACATGGAATTAGTCTGTCTCTCCTCCTCTGATATCCTCTGATATTTTCTAGATAAGAACTTGAGCCGAATAAAATATTTCAGTGCAGTTTCAGGGCGAACAATTTATCACATATACATGTTACTTAAAACTTAATGTTCGAAAGTTCATTTGTTATCTTAGTGATGATTTAAAAACAAATCTTTTTAAAAATTGAGTTGTATGCTTAAAAGAGAAAAATTGAAATTCCTTTATTTCTATTACCAAAATTTGTCTTCAATCACTAGCGTCATGAAAATCCTTGCAGAATTGTGTGTTCATCGAAAACCATATGTCAGTACGCACTCTATGTGGAATATTGCCATCAAATTGGGGGGGGGGGGGTCCCAACACTATAGAAGGGCTTTAACTAGGCCTGAATACCTACTTCAAATAATCCATATATTTCTCCTTCAATCGAATCACTAACTGAGGTGGCAGTTTGTCTCTTGCTGTCAGAGTGAAAGGAAGGAGAATTACACTATCCCTTGGAATGGTCTCAACCCAAACCTGCTTCCAGTCCCGCTGTCCTGTGATAGCAACCATCATCTTCTTCCATTTTGTTGTCAATGTCCCTGTAAACCATTCTAGTACAAGGACATCCTCCCTGACCTTGTCCACATCTTGTCCTTGTCCTATCTGTGGTCATTGTGTGCTATACGCCTCGCGGTAGGTGGCCACCATATCTCCCTCCAGTATTTCTGTCCTCTTGAGCCTTCCTCGCATTGGGTCCAAGATGAACCTGAGCAAACAGACAAGCATAAACCAGGTGATTGAACAAATGAAATGTATAAAAGCTGCACTATATGAATTTATTATTATTATTATTATTATTATTATTATTATTATTAATGTGTAATATGTGCGCATGTATTAACTATCCATACATGTATCTTTGAATAATTGGAAGTTAATTACAAGTTGTAGAAAAAATTAACTGCATACAGTTGAGATATATGGCTTCCCATATGACACAATTGCCTCAGACTTATTAACTTTAAAGGGACCTGGTAAATTGTTTAGATAAATAAAAATACTGCTAAGATAGGACTTCAATGCTAGCTGTACAATTAAAGACAATCTGAAAGTTCGAGTGAAAACAGAACATTACCAACAATTAAAATGGGGAAAAACTGATCTGATTCATTTATAAATTCTCCCAACTACATTATATTAATTAAATTGAATTCAAGGTTAATTTAAATTGTTACAAAGCAAGGTATACATGTATAGACTCTTTATACCATTTTAAACATTTGAGTCATTAATGATTTTGAAAGCAATGTTTTATGTCATACTTACAAGGAAAAACAGTTGGGAGAATTCAAAAATTGGCAGGGAGATTTTACACATACCACTTTCAAAGAAAAGCTTATAGTTGTGGTTTGTGGGGTTTTTTCAGGAAATTTGCATTTTAGAGGGTTTGTACAGTAGTAGGAATATAATAAGTAACATTTCATATTAAAATTAAGCATTTTTTGTCATCAAACTTCAATAATGCTACCAGTTCCCTTTAAACAGTAATCGCATTTAAAGATACCCAATTTGATAGAAATATATCTTTCAGTTCTGGTTGTATTAGCATCTAATTGTTTCATGAACTTTGACCAATGATCTTTCTACCCCAAAACTTGATCATATCATCCTGACATAGCCATACATGCCAAATTTGTGTATGCTCTCCTAATCTGGTCTGAAGTTATTGCGTTAACAATGACATAAAGCCTTCAACAGTGCCAAATATAGAGGTTTTTGTTTTCATACTGTATTTACATTAGGGAACTGTAATTTATGGAACTAAGATAAGTATGGTTCCTAATGTGTTCCTTCTTACATTTTCAGGGGTTCAGGGGGCGACAAATCAAAATTTGAGGTTGCAAAAGTGAAATGTGTTTTAGGTTGCATCAGAAAGAATGTAATAATGAAGTTGAGCACTTCTATAGTATAATGGTAGTCTATGATTGATGTGATAATATCCTTGCTTAGATCTGCATGATAGAAAATACCTGTCTGTATGGTTTTTCCTCTGTGATGTCAGCATACACTTGCTGCTGTGAGCATTCACTGTTTGAGTGCCTGCTAGCATTAAGTCGCAAATGGGCCACCTCACTGTTGCATCGTCTTCTGTAGATGAATAAAGAAGTGCACAGAACTCATCTTGTATTCAAGGAACTTAATAACATAGTTTTCTGTTCACTATATAGTGCGTGTACAAATATCAGATATAAATCCATAAAAATTAAGCAAATAAATTGAGTATTATACAAAATACACAACAACTAGAGATTTCGCAATCTGTGTTGCCGCCCAATGGAAATGCATCCGCTGGCAGAGGCAGCGATTTTGGTGTCTTCCTTATGTTCAAAGGAGGGACAAAGACTGCGCAAAGCCTCCGCCATAGAGTGATTTTACAAACCAAACCAGAAGAATTTTTTTAATTCAAGTTTGTTTGCAATCCATTAACAGGTTCTCAGAATATCGTGATTACAAGCTATTTTTCATATACATGGCTCTGCAAGACAAATACATGTCCTGAGTTTGATAGTAATCCATCTGTCAGTTCTTATGATAATGCGTTCACATGCTAATTATAGGCATACATAATTAGCCCCACAACATGACCCAGGTTTGGCGGGAATCTCTCAATCAGTTTTTGTAGCAGAGGCATTAAAATATTGATTCTTTTGTGAAATCTTTTAGGTCCAGCTAATAAGTAGTATAATTATTCAATTTTGGTTTTGTGTGTGAGATTCACACACACACACAGGTTGGTAAAAAAAAATCTTAAAGAACGGGAAAAGAAAAACACCCTTTTTTCAAGTACCCTATTGCTTTAAAAACAAAGAGAAGGCAGCTAGCTTTTGGTTTCCTTTCAATTTAATGACATTGTCAAAGTATTGCCATTATTGCCAAGATTTTTTTCAATAGGTAACATGAAATAGGAAATTGCAATTAGCCTAGGTTTATAGAATATAGAGATTATTTAAAGGGATTTATTCACCTTTTTGAAGATAATGAGCTCCATTAAGAGAGAGAGAAAGGCAAAGACGTGTCGATTCTTGTTCTCCCTTGCTGTCTTGTCTAATCGGAGATACAAAGTTGGTGGAAGGGAGTCGGTGCAGTGGATGAGAATGTTGAGGATGATGTTGATGGTGAGGTTGCTGTCATGAAGGTATTCTTTGATGTCGATATGAGTGTGTTGACCACTTCCATCTACAATTGCACCAGTGATGTGTGTGTTGAGTTGGTCCGTGTGGCTTAGGGCTTTGGGTGCTGGGTGTAGTTGCGGTATTGCTGTGCAGTGTTGATCCATATCCCATCGATGATGATGCTCATATATTTGTCTGGGCTTGCCTTCGCTTTTTGAATGTGCTTGTAGTATTTCTGTCTCTCACTGCTGCTGAAACAATAAATTAGGGAAAAGAAAAGCACTATTGAGGATATATTCAGTACATATTGTTGAGGATTCACAGTACAGTCAAACTTGTCAAACAACCTTCCTGAGGAAGCTGGCAAAAGTGGCCTTTGTGGACAGGTGGTCATCATAAAGAGGTTCAGTAACATGCGAACCGCTCTGAAATTCCTAGATTTTATTTCTTAGTACACAACAAAGCATGAATAGAGGCCTACGTGCTTCTGGGGGCTTAACCCTCTGGACCCCATGCCAATTAGTGTCCTGCCAGTGTCACAAATAAGGTATCAAATAAGCTCATCTTACTGTTATTAAATGCCTAAAACCCATGAGCTCCCCCTTGGCCCCACCTAGGGCCCTAAGGCGAGCCCCTGGATGCTCATCTGGTGGTCATATTTAAAGCCTAAAACCCCTGAGTTTCTGAGGGCATCGCCCCCTGGACCCCACGTTATTTAGTGTCCTAACAGTGTCACAAATAAGGTATCAAAATATGCTCTTCTGAATTAAATCCCTAAAATCCCTGAGTGCCCGGGGGCTCTGCTCCCTTGTCCCCACCAGGGGCCCCAATGCGGGCCCGTAAATACTTATCTGACCATTATAAAATGCCCCAAGATCCCTGAGTTTGATGGGGCCCTATTTGGTGGTAATTTAAAGCCTAAAACCCTCTCAGTTTCTGGGGGCTCTGCCCCCTGGACCCTAGGCCAATTAGTGACCTGCCAGAGTCATGAATAAGGTATCAAAATATGCTCATCGACCATAATTAAATGCCCATACCCCTGAGATCCTGCCCCTTGACAATTTTTGGGCTTTGCCGTAGGCCCCACGCCAATTTCCGCTAAGCTCTACCTTTGAATACTTTAGCCTTCCCCAACCCACATTTTTCTGCTTAGGTTGATCCTTCACGTCTGCAGGTGCGAAGAAAATACTGATCGAGACAACAAGAACAAGAGATGGAACTGAAATCAATCTACATGATCATTTGTATGGTAGCAAAATTGTGTGTTGAAAAAAAAGGAAACAAAATTTGCATGAAGGAATGAAACGGAATAGAAATACCGCAACATCTTGTGTTTTTACATCAAAGACTTAATTCCATGATGCTAAATTGTAGGTCAACAATTAAAAATATCAAAAAAGTACTTTCGTAGGATGGCATCCTACTATCGATTTGTAATCACTACCTGTAATAATAAAACTCACCTATGAACCGTTTTTGCTAGTAGTAGAATCTTGATCTCACAATTCCAATCACCTGGTACCAGGCTGTAGCACACACCGGCTCTAGACTAATGCTGAATGAGAACTGAAAGCTCGCATCTTCAGCTTGAGAAGAATGAGTCCTGAAGTACTTCAGAAGCTATATCCGCTGATCATACAAAGATTTCTCCTTGAAGGCTGAGCGGGCTGCAGCTGCATCTGCTCGTGTCACTATCACCAGGCAATCGAAAGAGCAGCATCTTCCACCGAAAACAGACAATAAAGTCTCACCACCAGTTTTGACTAAATAAAAGGTGCACAGAATAATTTTGGCTGATATAATAATAATAATATCTCCTTTCACATTAATATGTTACAATTTAAGTGAAATTTGGCCATCAAATTTTTGGCATATTTGGGGCTCCCAACACTTCAGAGGGGCTTTACCTTTATATATTCTACTGGTAATCAAAGATATCTAAATTTCATATTCTTCAATCAGACTCTTTCATTTCTCCTTTTCAAAATTAACAGAACATGTTTTCATATAAATTTCTATAACACTACTGCTATTTTAAAATCACCAAATTTACTTTCTGCAAAAAAATTCCAGCTTGGCCTCGATGTCATTTAGTGTATGTTAATGCAACACAATCAAAATGGGGAGGGGGGTACATTGTGCATTCACTCTCCTTTTTAGAGCCATTCATGGAATAACACATACCTGAGTTACTGGCAGAAAAAGGCTGGGCATCCTCATCAGCATCACTTTCAAGCTCTAGCTGTGACAGTATTTCCAGGGGTCTGTAGACCTGTTAAGTTCAATTCAAATTATCAAATACAGTAAGCTACATTTATATCTGGTCTTATAGCATTTTCCTTATTAACTAGCAATCTGGATTCTACTTGTACCCATGCCATGGTAGAGTATCCCTTTTGCAGGTTATAACTGCTGTAGAATTTTGCAGGAATTATTCACGAGTATTTGATTGTCACATACGTACATGAATGTCCTGTCTGTGAAATGCAGAAGTTAGCAGTGACCTAGAATTAAAATGAAGCAATGAAATCTCTTTACTTTGTAGACTTAACATTTAGACACTTTGGAGTGACTGACTGACTTCAATTTTCTATGTTAAAAGCTTACATAAAATGATCTGTGAAGGGTATCATTTGTACACAACACAACAGTGACCCACTTCATGTAAAGAACAAAATTAAAATGATTTTTTCTTTGCTCAGCACAAAATGTAAGACTATGCAAGTATGCAGTACTAGGGTCTGAAACATCAGAATGATTTATTGGAGTAGAAAACTGCTAACAATTACATAATTAAACATACCGGTAAAGGTTATTTCCAGTGCTAATCTCTTAAGAGGAGCTTTTAGAGTCTAGACCGGCTCATACAGAAGGCTTGCATTCTTTGACCAGTGACTATCAAGTCTATTCTTAAATGAGTTGACCGACCCAGCTGCCACGTTTTCTGGGAGACCGATCCACAGCTCCTTGCTAAAAAAGTATTTTCTTATCGACTATTGATCTAGCCTTGCATATTTCTTTTCCAGTTTTCTAGAGTGACCTCGTTTTGCTCGGTTTCTCTTGTTTTTCTGCATCTAGACTCAAGGCCTATTAAACGTAAAAATTATTTTTGGAGTAGACTCAGTGTCTTAGACTTAGTCTTTAACTTAGTTCTATCTATACGAGTGTAGGCCTATATTAGTATAGATACATCACAGAGCACCCTCTCAAAACCATGCATGATGCAGTCCTGGGGCAGTATTCTGAACATTGTTGTAAGTTTTGTGTTATCTTTTGTTGTATCTTCAAGAGATAACACAGCGCTAATATAGTTGTAAGTTGGTATTCTGAACATTGTTTTATCCCTATGTTATCTCTTGAAGGACCGCCTCTATCTTATCTTTGACCATTGATGACACGCCCATTTTTATGGACCCTACCAATCAAAATCTATTTTAAATAAGCATGATAAGTACGGCAACCAATAGGAATACTTTATGCCATATCTGAAGATGCGCCTAGCGCATACTAATCTTGGGCGTAATTAGTTATGTGAGCACTTATTACGCGCGTCATCATTATGCGCTGTTGAATGTGGATCATGAAGACAAATCACGCTTTTACTATATTGGTTAAGATGAGAGCATTAAAGTCGTCATATCCTAGCATGTAATATCTTAGAAAGTTCTCATCTGTGATGTTTACGGTCAACACACAATCTTCTTCTAACTCGTCTATTGGCACGAAAGATACAACAACCCCCTACCTGTTGTAAATATTGTTGTAAATAACATGCAAGATAAGATGATTAAGATAAAAGATACAACAACTTTCAGAATACCAATTATCTCGACATATTATCTCCCGTGCGCATATGCAAATGAGGATTTAAATGCCACTTTATTAATAACATGCACATTACAAGCGCACCAAAGTATGAGCGCAGGCGTGGCCAATAAGATGAGAGAAAAGATACAACAAAAGATAACACAAAAGTTACAACAATGTTCAGAATACCAACTTTATCTTATCTTAAGGCCATGTAAAATTGATTACATGTTGATCGTCCAGATTTTTTGAAAAAGAGGAGGAGGGTGTACCATGTTATTTGATATTTGATATTTCAAAATGGCCGCTCAAAATGGCCGCTCGGTACATTTTCCCCGACAGTCGAGGCTATTTTTTTTCAAGATGGCCGCCGACAATTTTTTTTTTTTTAATCAGAAATAGAGCCATTTTAGCAGTGTTTTTCATGTTTTTTTTTCTTTCAAAAAAAAAAAAAATTCAAAAAAAATTCAAAAAAAATTCAAAAAAAAAAAAAAAATAACAAATAACATTAACAAATAACAAAAAATAGGAGGCGGCCCCTAAAAAGGAAGCGGGCGGGGACGATCAACATGAAATCAATTTTACATGGCCTAAAAGATACAACAATATTAGAAATAATACCGCCCCTGGGCCACTTTTCATTTATAATTAAGCCTGCCCTTACTGTAGTGTTAGTGTTAGGCCTTAGCCTAGTCTAGATATTAGTTACCAGATCTAGATCTAGATAGAGTCTAGTAGTATAGACCTAGGGAATTATACTCTAGCATACTATATGCCTGTAGAGGTCTACTTAACATGCTCTAGGCTAGTAGTAGTCCTACTCCTAACTAATCTTAGTTAGGAGGCTAGGCATAGAGTTCTTAGAAAATACAGATTTTCTACGTACCTGGCCTACATCTGCACCACTCTCTGTAGACTGTACTTGACTAAATTGGTTGGAACTGAGTTGCCTGCATCTATAGTACTAGCTGATTATGATAAGCTGAGTGCAGTGGAAGCCTGTAGATTTCAGCTCTAGATTGCTAGAAGAAGGCCTTGAATAAGTTAGAGTTGCAGTAGTAGCTAATACCAATCGATGAATCTCACAAAAGAACTAGAGCCAGAAACAATGGAAAAGGGTCAGCTGCTTTTGTTTTCAAAACATGAGCCTCTTCAGCGCGTGATGCTTGAGTGATTACGAACGAACCAACTTCAAGATTACTACAGTACACACACGAACACGTACGTACATACACACATACATTAGGTGGCGCGATCGTTGGCTATTCATTCCATGTTTGCATTGTTCTCACCAGCTAGCCAGGGCGGATCGTGAGAAAGTATAGTTGTTAACTGTTGTTGTTGTTTTAAAGAATGTGTGAGTGTCCGAAAAAGGATTAGTGGTATTAAATTAGCCTATGAATGATTAAATAAAACACTTTCGGTACAGTGCTACCAATTGAATTTAAACTAATTAAATGATAATTGATAGGTAAAACATCAATATTAATTTAATATAGGACGATCGATCTACTGCAAAGACTATTAAATATCTCGATCTATATAATATAAATATATTATGCATGCATGGGCGGCAGGGCAGGGGGTACAGCTTTGACAAAATATCAACAACATCAAAATATTAAAAATTGTCGTGGTGCATATAACAATAAATCTCAGTTTTCCTCCATCAAAGTTTGTTCATTTATTTTTCTTTTCCTTTTGTCTAATTCTTATAATTCTTCTCTCTCTAATTCATCGTTCTTAAATTTGTCTTCTTTAATTTACAGACACAGTTCTCCTGTCTCCATTCGCATGTACAGTATCTTAATTAGCTAATACATCTTCTTCTTCTTCTTCTGCTGCTGCTTCTTCCTTTTGGCAGTGATACATAATTTGGGAAATACTTCTATACATTGTTAGCCATATAGCTGGACGGCGGCGTGGTTCTTTCTCAATTAATTAAGATCTACTTTTTTTTTTTTTGGTTAAAATATTAACTGTGGTCGACTCGTACTCGTTCACATCCAGAGCTGTTTACTGTAAGAAATTCACAATAAATTAAAGCACGGAGTAGCTATATTAGTAGATCCCTAATTATGGTAGCATAATCTGTCATTGTTTTTATAACTAAATGGGTTCGGGACTTGAGAGAGCTCGGGCACAAAACAAAATTTGGACACTTGCTGACTGGAACCAATTTAATGGTCCATTCCGAAATTAAATGGGGGACGGAGTCTATTTTTCCTTCACTGCTGATGGGGTTCTCTAATTCTAAAATTCCATATTATACGCTATGCATGTGATCATGATTACAATAGGATATAGGCAGTGGTGGATCCAGGTTGGGGGCATATGGGGGCACGAGCCCCCACCCTGGCAAAAAAAAAAGTATAAAAAAGATGGTACCGGGTAACCACACTTTTACATTTAAAAAATGGGCCCCAACCCTGGCAAAAAAAAAAAAAGAGGAAAATTAAGATGTATACCACAATTTAGAATTCAACCCATTTTTTTTGCTAAAGGGGGGGGGGGGGGGCGGGTGGATGTTGAATAAATAAAATAGTGCTCAATACCCCCCCCCCTCCACAAAATGCATTTAGATTCAGACAGGGGTGGATCCAACTGGCGGCGAGGATGGGGGCCCAATTCGCATGAAAATGTTTAGCGGCGAAAAAGCAGGAGGGGGGGGGGGTGGGGGTAGTGCGCACTACCGGTAAACTGTTTTTGTTTATCAACAGCTAGGTGGGGGACAGTAAGCAATTTTTTAAAAATCAACACCCCCCCCCCTTGAGCGACCCTCTTAATTCTTGTTTTGTGAATAACGACCCTCTTCTACGATTATGAATAGCGGTCCTTACGAATAATGACCCTTTTCTCATTTTATAATTAAAGACACCCTTATGAGTAACAACCCCAATTTCGTATTATTGAATGGCGACCCTCTTCTCATATTATGAATAGCAACACCCTCTTCTTTGGTTATGTTTAGCGGTCCTTTATTATGAACAATTAATAATAAATTCTGACCCTTTTCGCAAATTATGAATAGCGGTCCTTCCAAACAGCGGTCCGGTTCTTATGAATAGTGGCCCTTATGAATAGCGGTCGTTATTGCAAGCAGACCCGTTTTATTTTCCATATTGTCAACAGCACAAATGTCATTGTGCCTCAAAAGAATTAGAAAGGTCCTTTATTTTATTTTGTTACGTGCCCCTCATCACCAATGAATATAAGAGGGGGTCTCAAGGGTGGATCATAAATTTCCAAAGGTGAGGGGAGGGGTCGAGGCATGAAATGAACGTAATTGCGAGCGCAAAGAGCAAAGTTTTTTTGGGGGTGTGGGGTCAGGGGCCTACTTAAGGGCCCAAGAAAATGTTGGACCTTAAGATGCTCTATGGTACATTCTGAGGCATTTCTGAATGCGTAAACTGAACGTTTATATTATTTTTCTTTTTTAGGAAATTTTAGGGGGGCACGTGCCCCCCCCCCCCCCGTGGTTACGCGCCTGGTAATTGTCGACCTTAACTAATGCAAATTATGAAAGAAGGCCTAAAAAAAGGAATACATCTTTTAATGAATGAATATTATTATTCATGTAAACAAAAATGAGGATGAAATAATGATCTGAAAACTTTTACCGGTAGGAATTAAATTACTATAGTGCTAGCTTAAACAGTTTTGATAACCATATGATGACCCAATAATTGATTAACCCCTCATACGTTTTTTTGTAATGTTACATTATCTCTACCCCGCAATAATTAATCTCACATCATACTCTGGGTCTACTTATAATAATGAAATTTATTTTCCTTATTCTTTAAAAGGGGTAATTTTCATATTTAGTGTGTTTCAGTTTTAGTCTAGGTAATTAATTTTGAAAGGGCAGCAATCTCTAATATTGTTAAATTTATCATTGCTTCGTCTCAATTTGGTCAAATCTCTCCATCATGAGATTCTTGAAACTTCTTGACCCTTCCTATACCAGTTTCAAAGGTCAAAGTAAAATTTCATGATGTTAGATGAGATCGTATATTTCATGTGCATTATGGTCTCCATCAAAATATAGCACAAAATTTTACACACGTACACACACGTCAAGTACACATATAATACATACGTACGGTGTGTATAAATGCGGTGCATGCACGCACATGTGAATATTGTTTGACAACAAAACGCTTGAATGAACAGTAGGCTAAGTGGTTGTATGCGCATTAGGGTCTGGTCTATTGTTACTTGTTGTACAGCGCCTTTGTTTATGGGAGGATTAAAGTTCTATTCAGATCAGATCTTTACAAACTTACTGACTTAATCCCTATCATTCAAGTATCATCGTTGTGGACAGAATTGGAATTTAGTCTTCATTTTGTATTACATTAGTTTGGCCGGTAGGGGCGTTTATTATATCACTTCGGACAGCGGCAAATTCAAATTCTTCTGTGAGTACTGAGCTGCATGATGAGCTGAGCTGAGCTGGGAAGATTTACCCAGTGATTCAAGTCATTCCTGTCGAAGTTCAATACTGTAAGTATTAATTTAGACTATGTCAAATCCTGTAGTTAATTTGAGATCATTTAAGGTATAGATCTAGACCTATATATCGTGTAGAGTAGTACTGTATTTTGATGAAAAGGGTTACGAAATTTCAAAATGGCTGCCCGCAGCTCAGGCCGCATGAAGTTATGTATGATGTAATCAAGTGGATATGAATCAGGGCTAACTCGGCCCAGCTGCAAAATCTAACCATAACCCTAACCCTAAACTTGTAAAAAAATGAACATTTTTGCAACTGGGCCGATCTTCTTTGGCCCGAAATAGCCGGACTCCAAGTGATATCATTATAGGGGCGCGGGATTGATTGTAGCCATGCCTAGACTATAGACCCTGTATGAATTGATGTAGGTGGCTATGATGTATTTGTATTCTAGAGCTGAGTTGATAAATTAGGCACATTTTGAAACATAAATGACATGTAAGGTCAAGGATACATGTTATGAGGTTATCAGGCAAGAAAGCCGTATATAAATTACTTTGTAATGCGAAGGATGATTTGGGTATGATTCAACCACAAAAACTGGCAATAGTGGCATGGTTAATTGAGTTGTATAGAATTCGACTCTGCATGACATTAAAGAGAAGGTTGAGTTCTGGGAAGAGGTGAAAAATAATTTGTGAGCGTTATCATTTTTATGCCTCCGCCACCGAAGGTGGTGCCGGAGGCATCATGTTTTCGGGTTGTCCGTCCGTACGTCCGTACGTCCGTCCGTCCGTACGTCCGTCCGTCCGTACGTCCGTCCGTCCGTACGTCCCGTTTGACCGTTATCACAATATCTCAAGAACCATTTAAGATTTAAACTTAAGACTCGGGAATAGTATTTATCACCATAGGAAGACGATCTGATTAGATTTTGGAGTACGTAGGTCAAAGGTCACAGGTCACAGAGGTCAACTTATGAAATTCCTTGTATTGAGTTTGTTAGCGCGATATCTCAAGAACCATTTGAGATTTAAACTTCAAACTTAAGGATAGTATGTATCACCATAGGAAGACGATCTGATTAGATTTTGGAGCACGTATGTCAAAGGTCAAGGGTCACAGAGGTCAACTTATGAAATTCCATACATTGAGATTGTTATCATGATATCTCAAGAACCACTGGAGATTTAAACTTCAAACTTAGTGATAGTGTGTATCACTATAGGAAAACAATCTGATTAGATTTTGGAGCACGTATGTCAAAGGTCAAGGGTCACAGAGGTCAACTTATGAAATTCCATACATTGAGATTGTTATCATGATATCTCAAGAACCACTGGAGATTTAAACTTCAAACTTAGTGATAGTGTGTATCACCATAGGAAGACGATCTGATTAGATTTTGGAGCACGTAGGTCAAAGGTCAAAGGCCACAGCACACATTATGAATGCAAAAACAGCTTGTGATCGCGTTATCTCAAGAACCGATTGATGGATTCATGCATGCCAAAATTAGGTCATGTTTGTTACTTGCAGAGCCAATGAACTGAGTAGATTTTATGGTCATGAGGTCAAAGATCAAAGGGTCATATATGTATATGAGAAATTGCTTGTAATCACAATATTCTGAGAACCTGTCAATGGATTACCATTGAACGTGAATTCAATTTTTTTTTTCTGTTTTGGTTTGTAAAATTGCTCTTTAACGGAGGCATCATTTTCGACTGCGCGCAGTCGAATTCCATCTAGTTAATTATGCAACTATGGAAGAACGTCAGATAAGACATGTTCCCTGAAAAGCATGGCTCTTCAAATGCCTTCATATTCTAAATAGACTACAGTATGTCATGTAACATCGTAAAAATCTGGGGTAGGATTTTTACGCCACGTGTTTGTGTAGTCCCATATGCATCTTTCTGTGTACAGTGTTTTAACTTTACGAAGACTTGGCCAAATTTCTTATCAATTTGATGATTCCAGAACCTTGCAATATATATACACACAAATTTGTATATGCTACTGTAGATAATCAACCTTTTCTGGTCGATTCCACTTTCACAATGCAATCGCATGACGGCCAGAACTCAACTTCAACTTTAACACTAGTGACAGTCAGTAGGAGGTGTAAATCATGTATGTTCAAGAATATTGATGAAGTCAAGATAAAGCAGATGCACTTGAGATTGTTGATTTATAAGCAATTAAGGTATTTATTATTGTTTGTTTTATTTGTTCATTTACAGATTGAACAACACTTCCTGAAACTTCACATCATTAAACGTCATGGTATCCTAACACAGCATTTAGCAGGAGACGGTTGGTGGGTGAGGGTGTTTGTGCTGCATTAACGTCAACAATCATCATGCAGTCAACTATCTTCTTCCGTTCATACTTTGGTTTGCTTTTGTTTAGTGCTCTGTAGATTGGTATAATGCTTATACAGTCAAACCTGCTTTAGTGACCACCTGTCTGGAAAGACCACATTTTTGTTTCCCTTGAAAATGGTTTCTCATTGAAACATGTATTAAAGGAACCTGTCTACAAAGACCACTTTTTGTGTTTACCTCGGGCAGTCGCTATAGACAGGTTAGACTGTATTATTTAGTGCTCTGTAGATTGGTATAATGTTTATACAGTCAAACCTGCTTTAGTGACCACCTGTCTGGAAAGACCAAATTTTTTATTTCCCTTGGAAATGGTTTCTCATCGAAACATGTATTAAAGGAACCTGTCTACAA